AAGAAGACAACTCGGAGGGCGACACTGGCTGCTATTTGGAGAATATTCGCGGAGCTGGACAAACCTGAACGCACACAATCGAAGATAAACTTAACATCGATGCAGGTAAGCATGTTTTAGCTATGTTTTTAAACTAGGAATTATTTTGAATGAATAATAAAGCAATTAATGAATTCGGATTTCGTGGGATATGAAGAATTAAGCAGAACTCGGAGGGTGTTATTCAGACGGCAAAAACTTTAGCGTCACTTTTTCATCATGTGGGACGCAGAAATAAATCGCTTTGCAATAGTTTATTTGAATTTATGTTTCGTTTTTGCAATACCTGTTTTCAGCCAGCTTATTTAGCTTTATTTTCATTGGTACGGAGACGCCCTGAACATGACAGGAAAGTAATTGAGGATCCTTCTAAATGCAAATTAGAACAGCTACTACGTACCTCAAATCAAGACGGATATTACAAACTATTACAAAATCGTCTACAGACGTTCTCTAAACTTAAGGCAAAACTACGTTAAAACTTGTTTGAAGAAAAAGATGGCTTTTCGCCACCCCATAGGGATCAATGGGAATCTGAAAAAAATTATCCATGTTGCCTGTATGGATCATACAGATCGTCCTCTAAAGTTTTTAATATTTCATTCACACCTGGCATGGACTGAGGAATGATAGTTAAAACTATCAGTTTTCAGGGAAAAGAAAAAATAATACAATTCTTTTCCAGTACAAAAACAAAAACGTTTAATACTTCATGCTTGTTTAAATTCTAGGAAACTACTTAAAAGAGTTGACTACAATAATTAATGTGGAAAATGAAGTAAGGAAAAAGAAATACTTTAATTTGGTTTGAAACAAAAAGTTTCAATTAGAAATTTCGTCCATACCTCGGAATCGCCGTTTCAAGAGCATCTGACATACGTACGGGACCTTCCGAAACTACGCCGGCGACGGCAAGAAGAACGCCTAAAATAGAATAGGCTTGAGTGAGCAAAACGACAGCTCTGGCGGCACGTGCATCACGCTTTTCTTTACATTTCTTCGTTGTCCCTACACAACTACAACGTGGAATAGTCATTTTTTTTTTTTTAGTTGACGGGCTTAAGAACTTGAACAACAAGGCGATAAATTTATTTACTACTTCTCTCTGAAATCGGACGCGGCCTCTGTTAAATTCTGTATTTTAATGCTTTATAATCACGATGTTATAAGATTACAACAAAACTCGAACATAAGTTCAACACGCTTCTCTGGTCTTCTAATACTCGTAACCGAGCACGCATGGTATTGTGGGATGTCCAATACATAAACTTCCGGTTAACTCAAACATCCGGTTTTAATACACTACAGCCTCCGCTATTCAGTTCCAACCTAACACATGTCAACGTACTTTCAATTCACTGGGCGACTTGGTATGACGGCGAAAAAGTTTCATTGGACGCGAAGTCTATTTTTCAGCGACGTATTCATTGGCGTCTCTGTTTTCGGATAGTAAGGTCCCTATTGGATTGTATTCTCATCGTCCTTTGGTTCTTGTACCCTCCTTAAACACCAGTGTTTCCAAACTATGATTTGAGACAAATCGCCAGGGAATTGCCGGCCCCAAAACTGCCGCCTGCGATGCCTGACACAATCTGCTATCAAAAGCAGTTCTGCCAACTAATATTAAGATCTATGTCCTTCAAAAATGATCAAGTGGAAGGCTCTACACGGTTACTTTACCGCCTAAATTAAACCAGCTGACTGATAAGCCTTTTAAACTCTTTCTTTATGTCTCTTTTGAAAAAAGCATAAGACAGTGGGTTAATGGCCGAGTTTAAAACCAATACAGGAACTTTGTATTGTTCATCTTTACATGATGCATTTGTGTCGGATAGTACTACGAGACTACAACGTAAATATATTCCGTAGCACACAACAAACACTCCTATCACAATACCCATCATTATTACTGCAGACTTCTCGTTACGGGTTTTAAAAGATATCCGTCCTAGGGTGCGTGCTGACCGATCTTGTTTCCATACGTGAATTAACATTGACACAAAACAGAGTATCTGCAGAACGCATGGAAAGATTTCCATGGAAATCATTAAAACCACAACTCCAACGATACTGGTCAGAGGGGTCTCACAGCAAAGCCGAAGTGCGGTCTTGAGCGCAACCAGCGTAAATGACGCTATCCAACAGGAAGTTATCACTTGAATAACACGAGATCGAGTCATGAAAGTTATGTATTTAAAAGGCTTTACGATGGCGATATAACGGTCGAGCACCAGAGAACACAAATTTAAAACAGACAAGTAGCTAAACAGCCACCTTACGACATCTTTCCATGAAGGAAAAGCCTTAGGCCAGTCACAGGTTTTTGTAACGTCGCATACAAACAAAGAAGGAATAATGCTCAAACCAACACAGAAATCCGCTACTGCAAGTGAAACAATAAACGAGTTGGTTTTGGTGTGGAGATTTCGTCTGCTGCAGACGAGGAAGATCACAAATCCATTTCCAGTGATGGCAAGAAACGAAAGAACCAATCCAAGAATCCAAAACCAGGTCTCCATCCGTAGTAACGGCAGTTAAGAGAGGTTCTTATTAACTACAGATAAAAGAAAAATATCTTCTTCGCAATAATGTCAGGAGGTTGTGAGTTATTCACTGGCAGATGTATGTTACTAGACGGAAGTCCTTTTGATTGTCCTACTTTGTCATAAACTTGGTAATTTCTAATAATAATGTGTTTCGCATGCGCAGTAGCGACCGAGCTGTCGCAACACAGTTGGTAGGAAAATGAGGATAGTTGCGTGCTGTAATTCAAAGCCAATGGGCGCTTTCAATACAACAAAAATTCCGGTTGAAATGTTGGAAATTCCACTTGCCCAATGGAACTACATCGACCTGACCAAAGCCACAGTGCGTTTGGTTATCGTTGCTACAAAAGAGCGGTATTTGAGACAACAATTTTGTCAAATGGAAAGGGACATTCCAACATTGCCGATCTTAATCTAAATAGCTCTGATCTGGCTGGATCTTAATTATTCTCTTTACAACTAAACCAGTCTGGTCTTTCAGTTATAACAGATGGAATTAACCGAGACCTTAGCTGATTAAAAAAAATATACCTTCACTTTAGTCTAAATTGCAGCCGACGACATCATGTATTTCTTACAAATTGCGACAGGTCTGCTACAAATTACTACAAAAGTGCATTAATAAATAAAAAGGCTGTCTCTAATATCACTAAATTTGCCTGAGAACGTTTCCACCGTTGTTGTTAACTATTCCTAAGCGAGAAAATAAAACAAGACAGACATGAGCCAGCAGCATCACGGTAATCTGCCCATGCATGCAGTCTATTCCGTTTAATTCCACTGCTGTACTAAATAGAGTATGCAAAGGTTTTCAGTTAACAAATTGAGCAAGGAAAAAATTAACTGACCACGATGTGAAACAGAAACACAATGTCGATAAGTTTTTAAAGGCAGTTCAACTGTGGAAAAAAAAACACCCTCTTCACAAAAAAAACTTCTTGTCCAACAGTTTATTGATTATTTATAAAACCTTGTTATTTTATAATCCTTTCACTATATATATATACATGGCGCAAGACGCCTGGGGTGTCGATATGATCTTTAACAACTGTTTCACTAGCTCAGTTATCAATCAATTATTAATATTGTTTAGTTAAATACCTTCTACTGCATTTTTATTTCGTACTGCTAAATTGGAAGGTTTTATTATTCATTCGGTATGTAACGATTTTAATATTGTTCCAGCCACAAACAACTCGTAGCTCCCAATTTGCTGTTGGGCTTCCTTAGCAACCAATATTTATTTCTTTGTCATGATTTCTACAGAATTTAAAGGAAAATGAGCCTTACGTTCGTGTAACCGGGGCGAAAAAGGTGACGCATTTGATAGCTATACCTTTTTTCTCCATAACAAGTCATTTTACACCTTACACGATTTTATCATTTCAGTCACACCTGCAAGACTAACCTGAAATAAACTTGCACGGAAAGATTACAAAACTACTACATTTCTTTGTGTTTTTCTCAACAAGGAAATTAATTCATATAACAAGAATATCGTAGAGTTAATCTTTCAGTTCGGTTCGGTACATTCTAGGAATCTATCGCCCTTAACAGAGTTGATTACGAAGACTGTTGAACGAACAAAATTAACCTCGGTGCGGAGGAAAATTGGCGCCAAGCCTTATGAAGTCACCGAACCTCGAACTTCTGAACTTGTCAATCTTGTTTTCTCCGGTCAAACTGGTATTCAGAGTGCGAGCATCCGTTTCAGATTGATAAATTGATGGTCATAACCGATGAGCCCGCTGTACAAAGCGCACGGCTATTAAGCCTGCGTTCGAACTGTATCCAAGCAACAAGCGGCACATGCTCACGCTATCTTTGTTACTCAATTGATGCAGAGTCTTGCTCGAGTATACCAAAATCGAGCAAGTGAAGCAAAGCGGGCTTTGGTAGCAGCCGGTGTGAACACAAAATTATACTCTCGTGATGTGAAACTAAAAAGTTGCATCGAATAAGAACTTGCGTCTCACACCACCTGTGAAACTTGATCCTAAGTCCTTTCCCTTGTATTTTGTATTCTCTGAGGGTCCAAAGGTTCTTGTTTTCTCTCCTAATGCGCCATTTTTTCCAAATTTCAATTCGCTTTGCGTCCAAGCCTCACAAATTTATCAGTCTTTTACTGAATTGCTCAAGCCTTTCACACTCGTTCATAAAAGACTTACATCTTACCAGAATGAGTTACGCGCGTCAAGTGGTAAGCTTTAGTTAACTTTGTAATATTCTTTTAAACACAGCGCCAACGCAGATGCATCCCGTAGCAAACAAGAAACACTCCTATCAAAAGACCCATCATTATTACTGCAGACCTATCGTGGAGGATTTTTAACGACATCTGATGGTTAAAACGTAACTTTTTTGCTAAGGTGCGTGCTGACTGATCATGCCTGCGTACGTGAAATGTCATTGATGCAAAGCAGAGTGTTAACAGAACACATGGAAGAAACTCGGAAATTATTGTCAGCCAAATAAGTGACACAGGGACAGGTATTGTTTTGAAATAAAACAAAGAAAGGGTAATCTTTAGCGCGTAAAACTAACTGGTATAACCCAAGAGAAGAAAATAATTGGGATAATTCGACAGCGAGTCTGAAATTAATGTATTTCAGAGGATGAACGATGGCAATAAAACGATCCAGTACTAAGACGCATAAGTTTACAACAGACTTGTTACTAAGCAACCACCTCATAATATTCACGCAAGATGACCAAGATAGCAAATGTTGAGGCCAGTAGCAGGTGTTTGTAATGTCGCAGAAGAACAGAGAAGGAATAACGCTCAAACCAACACAGAAATCCGCTACTGCAACTGAAACAATAAATGCGTTGGTTTTGGTGCGGAGATTTCGTCTGCTGCAAACGAGGAGGATTGTAAATCCATTTCCAATGATGGTTAGAAATGAAAGAAACCAACCAAGAATACAGAACCAGGTCTCCATCTTAACTGTTAAAGGAAGTTCTTGTCAGCTATACTGATTAACTAAAAAATTGAGTATTATAATTTACATCTTTGCATGAATTTGAGGGTCACATTTGCTAATACCCGTAAATGATTTTATAGACGCCCAGGGGGTTATTTAATTTTAGGGGTCCAATGGCCAAGAGGGGGCGTTTAATAGAAGGAGGGAGTTTAAAAGAGGAAAGCGTTTGAAGCTCAGTTAAACTAGTATGCTTTGGGCGAAAATTCAGTATCAAGGGAGTTAACTGTAAATAGCAGAATTTCCTAGCGTTTCAGAGTAATTGCGGGGGGGGTGTCTATTAGACAGGGGCAGGAGCCCATCAAATGGAGCCTCCATCTCCATTAATTTCTTGAGTCAACCCTTTCCCGAGTAGATTTATAAATAGAACGGCTTGTTTCCCGCGAAAAGTGTCATATTTCCGTGAGTCTCGTATGTCACCGTGAAAAAAATGAAGTTGGATGAAGTCGAACTCAGAAGCCCGTCCTTCGACCGTTTTCCTTTTTTACTAGACGTCCATTTTTACAATTTTACAGCGCTGATCTGGGATGAAATAAAAGTTAATGAATTACCCGACTGAGACTGAGCATGAAGCGATGGGACAAAGGCAGCGAACTGAGGATCACGGAAAGGTTCTTTGCGAGTGTTTGTTTTTGTGTTTTTTTTTTTTTGCCGTCATACATCCCACATTTAAGCATGCACCTTGAAAAGAGTCGACGATTAAGCGTTCTGTAGACGATTTGCAACTTTTCGATGATCAGCGCCGAAAAAGTGCCAGGATCATTTATTTTTGTCATCGCCGTGGAGTGGATTTCGCCAGTTAAGCACCGTGTGCAAAAGCGATGACCTAAGTAGCAACTAAGGAGGAATGCTTCAGAAAAATTGCAGTCTTCCTTTACAACTGACTTGTATCACCATGAGAGTTGCCTGATAAAACTGGCACTTGAAAAGTTGAACAGAAGACAACAGTTGCTCGACCGTGAAGCTAACTGAACTAACACTAACTGAAGGACAAAACAACCACAGAATTTATTCAGACAAACGCATTTGGGCTAAAAACTTGAAAAACTGGAAATTTGATTAATATTGAGTCATTTAGCCGAAATAAGAACCTTAACGCTCAAAAAAATTGGCTAAAGAAAACGAATCCTGTCAGAACTACAGACTGCAGGTAGAAGTTAATCCTTGCGCATGTAACAGACCAGCTTAATGTGAGACAAGCAACCAAAATCAAGATTAACATAGTCAGAGTTTAAAACTCTCCACAGTATAATCTACCCGCTAGAAAGAAAAGAAAGAAAATCTCTGAGGGATGGAAACGCGTTTCACTAGCTTATGATTTTGTTTGGCCTGTCAGCACCGGATTTCCTGCTGTTTCATGAAGTACAATAGCAGTGTCATTTAGTCGTTGTGATTGGCTCTTTCCACCGTCGGCGCGCGAAGTCTCTCCTGGGAACCGTTCTAATTATAAATCTACTCGGGAAAGGGTTGATTCCAAGGGCTTGTATGGGAGATGGAGGCTCCATTTGATAGGCTCCTGACAGGGGGCGTTATTAGAGAGGGGCGTCTAATACAAACTGCTTGACATCTTAAGAGGGGCGTTCATTAGACAAAAGGCTTTATTTAAGAGTGGGCGCCCATAACATCATTTACGGTGCGTGTTTCTATTAGTTCTTTAAATCGTCCTTATTTTAATAACTGCACTGTATTATAACTTCCTGCTTCCAATAGTTTTTGCGCTATTTGTAATTAGCCATGATGTCGTATTTTGTAATTATCTTTTTTTTAATAAACAGTAGGAAGAGAGAAAATGTGGACTTCACATGGCAATAGTGCAAAGACATCTTTCAATTAAACGATAGAAAGCGTCAGTCACGTGTATTACCACTTATCTCAATTCATTGTTAATTTGGCTCGCTTAATATTGGTACGTTAACGTATTCCTAATTGCGACAGTTCTTTATTAGAAACTGCGACAGGTGTTACAAATTACAGCAAAAGTTGGGGAAAAAA